TATCAGCTGAGTTTTCAAATTTATTTTATTAAATTTTTAGAAAATAAAAAACTTTTTTATTATTAAGATCCCCTTACCAAAGTTGGCTTTAATAAATGAAATTCTAACAGAGATAGCAGTACTTAATAAGAAATATGTCAATTATTAAAGTTAACAATAATTTGATACATAAAAAGTGATTAAAGATATAAAAGTAACAGTAATGATGAGACCTGAAGCAGAAATGTATATTCTACATATTCTTTTAGAAAACTGACAGAATGAACATCAATCCTCAAGAGGTCTATTTTATTTTATAAAAGAAAAAAAACCCAACAAATATATTGACTTCTAGATCTGTGTCTAAGGATGTTGTAAAGCTCTATTGAACAAATACTAACAAAATTAAGTTGATAAAACACATATGATAATTGCTGTGACTTAATCAGTGGGAAAGTTATTGACTTTTATAAAAATATCTAATAGGATTATAGAGGCTAGGACTTCGGTCTAATTACAACTCTGTTAATTCAGTAGAAGCCAAGAGAAAATTCAGCAGGTAAAGAATATCATTGATGTCAAACAAAACTGGATTTTTTGAAGCTGCAGGAGATCTAATTTTAAAATTTATACTTTAAGTCTTATTTTTCATTTCTATAAATTATTTGATTTTTTAAATTTATGATTTCTTTTGGAAGAGTGGAAACTTTTTTTTTTGGTTTTGATTTCTTATTTTGTCTTTAAACATAGTTATTTAATATTATTGGCTTTAATCTCCTCCTTCATTTGTCTTCTTTTCTTTTCTCATTGTGAATTATTTCCTTGGGTGTTTTGTTAATTTATCATTATGGAGATTCTTCATATGTGTACTATAAATTCCATTCCAAACATTGGTGCTACGCAGGTTACTGCTTAGTTTAACAACCTCAAAGGAGAATTACTATTTTAAATTTAGAATCCAGTAAGAGGTAGTTTAGCTTCTTAAAAACAATCTTCTTATAACAATGGACATACTTAATTTTTCTAGTCCACCTTTTAAGGGTGCTGTCTTTTGAGAGAATTGGATTTCTTATTTGTCTCAGTTCTAACTCTCTCATAAGGACTAAAAGCTTTGTTTCCTGTCCCTTATTCCTTTGATTTATTATTTTCCAATTTGGGCTCCTCCACAAACTCTCTGTGTGAGCTTGGACAAGTCATTTTCCCATTTGGGTCACAGTCACCCTATTTGTAAAATGAGAGCTGGGTGAAATGATGAAATGACCCATCAGGTCTTTGGCAGTGCTAACGTGCTAAGAGTCTAGCCTTCATCAAACTTGGAAACTGTTTCCAGAAAAGAAAGTTCAATGTCCTTTATGAACTGTTCCATGGCAAGGATGTAGCTCAGTGTGAGGTGAACTCAACACTCATCTCCTTGGACTGGGAACTGATAGGCACCCGGCAGAGGATTTATCTCAGGATTTTTCCTCTTTGGTTTTCCTGACCCCACACCAGTCCATTCAGGAGCTATAGGCAGTTTGGCTTCTTTTTATTACTTCCTCACAGTTCACCTCTGGACTTGGCAAAGTCAGCAGTTATGACAAGGGTGTGAACGCCAATCACACAGCTTCATTTCCAGAATAACCAGCTTAAGTGCTGTTCAGTGCTTATACTGGAATAGGAACCTGACTTGGCTAATTTTTATAACTCATTTTAAAAGAACTATAAGAATGTCCTTCTGGAATTTTAATGCACATTTTATTTTGTTTTCTTGTGCAGAAGGAATACATTTTTTTTAAAAAAAAATTGTAGGTAAATGGATGGAGTTGGAGAATACAATGCTAAGTGAAGTTAACCAATCCCAAAAACCCAAATGCTGAATGTTTTCTCTGATATAAGGAGGCTGATTCATAGTGGGGTTGGGAGGGGAAGCACGGGAGGAATAGATGAACTCTAGATAGAGCAAAGAGGAGGGATCGTAAGGGAGCCGGCAAGGGGTGTAAAGGATGGGGAATGAGATGCACATCATTACCCTAAGTACATGTATGAAGATAACAAATGGAGTGAATGAATATACTTTGTATACAACCAGAGATGTGAAAAATTGTGCTCTATATGTGTAATATGAATTGTACTGCATTCTGTTGTTATATACAAGTTAGAATTAAAAAATAAAATTAAGATAAAAGTTTTAAAAAAATTGAAGAGAATAAAAGAATATAAAGAAAGGAAAAAAGAGAAAACACATTCATATTCCTAACATTTCAAACCAGCCAGTATCATCATTATAGTGTGGTTCTTTTTTTAGAACTTTATTTTTATTTATTTATATGCAGTGCTGAGAACCGAACCCAGTGCCTTACACCTGCTAGGCAAGCACTCTACCACTGAGCCACCACCCCAGCCCCCTAGTGTGGTTCTTTTTAATCTCTCAATTGTTCTTATTTTTTAAAAAGTGTTATGACTATATTTGTGTATCCTTTCTGGAGTAAATGTATTGCTATTGAGTGGGGTCACTATTGTTTGACTCACTGTTGTTCTAAGTTTCTCCAAACTGATAGCGTACAATTTTATATCTGGTGGGATACAACTGTACCTAAAATTACTACAAAAATTGTTGGAGTATAATCATAACATCAACTTAGAGATGACAATGAAATGAGGGAGCCAAGAAGGATCTTCAGTATTGGTGAATTCTATTGTTATTCCCATGTATCTTTAATTCTTCTTCAACAGCACTGACCAATGGCTAACAAGGCTTCGTTTTCCTGCTTTACTTCTTCTTTATCATCTTCAATTTCTTCTCCTAGATAATGGGAGGTCAGATTGGTTTTGAAAATAACATCTCCATGGAGGAGATGGGATAGGGAATGCAGTGGTGATGAGCAGATTTGGGTTCCAATTATATGATCCTAAGCGAGTAGTTTCTTCATTCTGAGTCTCAGCTTCCCCATGTGTACAATTAGGGGGCCACGAATGAGAGCTCATTAAGATCTCTATGTGCTCCTTGTTCCGAGGCTTTCCTTCTCTCTTTTGACCATTTTCGCATTTGGGATTAAATTAGGAGGCAGAAGGGAAGAAAGAGAGAGGCTAGTGCAAAATGCAAAGCATAAAAATAAAACAAAATAAAAAATGCAAAACATTTTTTAATTTTTAGCTGCAGCTGAGTGCCTTGGATCTGTTGGGGAGTGTCCATTGCTGAGCTCTGTGTTGTCCTCCACTTTGAAGACAGTGAGTAGCCCCTTCCCTTCCTGGGCAATGAATGCTTCCCCAGGTTAGATTTTGTTTTCTTCATTGTCTTTCCTAAGATATCAAAGAAGGCTCATCTTATGTCCTACAACAAAACAGAAGTAGTCATATGCATGGTCAGATTGCTTATGCTTCTTGGATGATTGTTCCTAAATTCCAAACTATTATGAATCATCAAGTTCAAACCTGCTCAGCATCTCTAAACTGTTTCAAGCACACTCCAATTATGGCATGAAAGTGATTGCTGAGACCAAAGCTCACAAGCTTTATGATCAGCTGTACTAATGGATGATGGAAGAACTTCTCCAAGTGATGATGAACTTCTCTAAGTGATGAATACCTCAACACTATATGGTTCAAATCTCAGTTTACCAGGGTTCAGTGTGGGCATTACTTTAAGAACACAGGTGCTGTATACAGCAGGCAAACCCCTGTGACTCTGGGAGGGTCTTGACAACTTGCTGGCCCATGCAGCCCAGACCCTCTCCATGGTCCTGATCTCGTGTGCCCCCCCCCCCCTGGCCCTCTGTGATGCTGGCCGCTTGTTCTCCTCACTGGCTCTCGCTCTTTCTCCATTTCTTTGGAATTCCCCAAAGTTGGGCCCTCAGCTCCCCGCCACGCTTCTCGTTGTACTGTGCCCTCTGGCTCATTTCTCCAACTCTCCCACCTGCACTAAAGTCTTATCTGTCCTTGTTCCCCCATCAGGAACTCTAGCACTCTGACTCCCTTTGGCCCCTATTGCTGCTTGCCGGGCCTGTTGTAATAGCCTCCTGGGCTGGCCTCTGTGCCCCGAGTCTTTCCTTCATGTTTCTGAAACTGATAAATATCTGCAGAAACAGTTCCTCAAACAGCTTCTGTCACATCACACTTGGGCTCAAAAACTTACTTCAGCTGTCCTGCTACCACGGAGGTCTGAGCCTCTTAGTTTTGCCCCTGAGGTCCTCTACCTATGACCATGACCTCCCTAGACATCCTTATTTCCCACCACTGCCCTTCCCAGTTCTTCCCTCCCAGCCACCTGGACTCACTGGAGTCCCTCAACCATGCCTTGGGCTTTCCTGCCCCATCACTGTGGAAAACATCCTCCTCCTCACCTCACCTGGCTCCTACTTTTCTCCTCTCTATTTCTTAGCAGCTTCCATGTCCCAGCACAAATCCAGCCCTTGAACCTCCAATCCCGGTGGTGCTTGCTCTCCGCAGTATGAAAACCACTCTCTCTTCCCTTGTCACCTCCTTCTGCTCAACAGTGTCCACAGTGTGTCAGGGACCTAGAGCTGGGACTCAAAGATGTTTAGACCCCACCTTTGCCTTCAGGGGGCTCCAACAGGGAGAGATCAGCACACAGGTCAGGACAATGTTATGTTCAGGGTAAAATCCTAGAGTTCTGAGAGGAGGGAAGGATGACTTACCTGATGGAGGTAGGGAAGGAGGTAGGCCAGGGGGTTCTCAGCAGCGTGATGCAATGGAACGAGCAGAGAGCCATGCTGGAATTCCTGCTTCACAACTTACCGTCCCCTACCCTCTGTGCCTTGGTTTTGCCGTCTGTAAAATGGGAATTATAACATTTGCCTTGAAGGATTGGGGTGAGGAGTGACAAGATATGTTTGTGAAAAGTGTCCAGCAGCAGCAGCCTGTGCAGGTTCTTGGGAAGTGCAAGCCCCGTCTGACCACACTCTGCACGGCGTCCAGTACACTGCCTGGGATAAAGTCCAATCCTGGTAGATGCCTGTGATTTGGTTGCTAGACATGATCATGGATATATCAGGAAGCAGGACTGTGAGGACCTCGGCTATTTTAACTGTTCTATAAAAGATGGACTCCCTTTTTTTTTTTTGAGAACCATGAATTTAGTACTTGGAAATTTGAACTAGCAAAAGATACACAGGCAGTACCTATGCTTTTCCATTTCTTCAAGGGGAGCCAGAATCTTGCTCAGGAGTCAGGGCCCTCACGCCAGGTGATAGAGCAGCAATCCTGTCCCTGGACACGCCACACCCAACTAATGAAGGCCAGGGCTTTCATGAGTCCAGTTCTTTGAAGCCACACCACGAAGCTCTTACTTCATGACGCACAGGCATGGTGGAGAGTCCTGACTTAGGGAGAAGCCCAAGTAAAGTCTTTTATGAGGTGAGGGACTCTTCTGAGGAAACACATAACAAGCAGAAGGGAAGGGCTTTGACGATCACCAAATGAGCACAAAGAAAAAAGGGCTGCCTTACAGTCCACACCCTCCACAGTGAGGGTATAAAGGCCCATCCGGGGAAAGGAGACCCACAGCGCTGTGGCTCGCCTTGCATTCTGTCTTCAGCCAGACACCTCGCTCCCTCCCAGCACCATGCCTTACAACTGCTGCCTGTCCAACGTGAGCTGCCGCAGCAGCTGCTCCTCCCGGCCCTGCGTGCCCCACAGCTGCCATGGCTGCACCCTGCCCGGGGCCTGCAACATCCCCGCCAACGTGGGCAACTGCAACTGGTTCTGTGAGGGCTCCTTCAACGGCAGCGAGAAGGAGACCATGCAGTTTCTGAACGACCGGCTGGCCAGCTACCTGGAGAAGGTGCGCCAGCTGGAGAGGGAGAACGCGGAGCTGGAGGCCCGCATCCAGGAGCGGAACCAGCAGCAGGACCCCTTGGTGTGCCCCAGCTACCAGTCCTACTTCCGGACCATCGAGGAGCTCCAGCAGAAGGTGAGGGGCGGGCACCATCGTGTTCTCAGCAGGAGGCTGTTGGAAGAAGAACATCCTAGCTGCAATTCGGAAACCATGTGAATTCCTGGGTCCACGGGAAGGTTGACGACTGGCCTTGCTTTTGTGTCTTGGGGGCTCATCTACTTTCAGACTTGGGCCTATTAGGTCTGAGTATTGGTGTAGAGTTAGTTTAGGTGAAAATAGCAGCACTTCCGATAAAGAAGCTGTTATTTAAAGCTGTCTCTGAATGCTTCCATGTATTTCCAAGCTCCAGAATTATTACCCTGAGGTGAAAGAAAAAGAACTGAGCTGGAGAAGAAAACGAAGCAAATGGATTAGGTCATTTTTCTCTCTCCCTCCAGTGCTCTGATCTCTGGTTATCTCCCTCTTCTGGACACTGAATTATCCCAATTCCATTGTCCTAACCTGGATGTGTCTGGGATCGTACTGGTGTCCAGTATTCAGTGAAGGGGTAAAAAATGGTTGGTTAAACCCAGAAAGATTGGAAATGATGTTGGAGGGAATGGTACCAGGTCATCTCAATGGCCAGGAGAGCATGGCAGACTCCCTGGTACAGCCCCTTGCAGCTCCTAATTTATATATTTATCTTCCCTTCTCAGTTGAAAGTATCTTGAGGGCAGGATTCACATTTTAATAAATATGAATTGGTATCAGCTTTTCAGTATTGCTTATCAGGAAAGGAAAAAAAGAAAGATCACTTGCTGATATTTTCTTTGTGTGTTTCAATTTTTTTTTCAAATATAGTTTCTAAAATATTTATTGAGCGCCTATTGTACACCAATAGCACTTCATAGTGTTATAGAAGATACATTATGACTTCTCATTTTGATCCTCCCATGGAGTGGATTAGTCGAGATTGCCATTGGCAAAAATAACCAAGCCCTTGCTTATTTGAGAATGTTTTTGGTGCTTCCAGATCCTGTGCAGCAAGTCTGAGAACTCCAGGATGGTGGTGGATATTGATAATGCCAAGCTGGCCTCTGATGACTTCCGAACCAAGTGAGTGGGCAAGTTGGGTATTGCTTATTTTTCTGCTCTTTCCTCTCTCTGTTCCCTTAGCCTGTCGACAACACTGACACACATCGACCAAGATGTTCTCCAGATGTTTCCCCACCATCCACAGAGCTCTTTCTCACTAGACTTTGGAGATCCCTCCTCCTGGCCTCCAACCCCTTCCTCTTCCTCTTTCTTCTCTCTAGAGAGTAATCCCCAATCACAGGGCTTGCCAGTGTAGATAGCATGGTTCTTCGACATCCTGCTGAGCGCAGAACTCATGAGAATGTGGGAAATGTTTCCACGTTCTCCTGTGGAAACCTCACCGTTCATGGGATTTTGTCCTCCTAAGTCCACGGGTTCTTTAACAAAATAATTGCCGGTGAATTTTTCTCCAGGACCTACTGCTAGGTATTGAAAACCCAAATGAACAGGATGGTTGTAAGAACCACTAAACCTAATTTCTAGTTTTCTGACCAACCAAAATCAAAGCAAAGTCCAGGCCAGGTGTATTCCTGCCCAGGCTGTCCCTGATCCTCCTCTGGTCACAGGTACGAGACGGAGCTGTCCCTGCGGCAGCTGGTGGAGTCCGACATCAACGGCCTGCGCAGGATCCTGGACGAGCTGACCCTGTGCAGGGCCGACCTGGAGGCCCAGGTGGAGTCCCTGAAGGAGGAGCTGCTCTGCCTCAAGCAGAACCACGAGCAGGTGACGTTCCCTAAAGCACTGTCAGGATCCAGCTCGCCAGGGCTTGTGTCCAACCGCCACGGGCTGTGGGAGAAGCTGTGGGTTGAGGTTCCATTAGCTCAAGAAACTATTCTCCCAACAAAAAGGGATTTCTTTGTAGAGAATGAATAATGTAAAAATCTGAGATAGGAGATTAGGATTTCTCTACCAGGGGCGGAAATGAGGATGAAGGAAGTTGGCCAGCTCCACCATGAGGACAGGTCAGCGATATGCAGCCACAGGACCTCTTCTGTGCCCAAGTCAGGCCACATACTGCAGTCATTTTGTAACTATCCAGTTTGTAACTGGAGTGGGGAGGATGGCCTAGGGCCACCAAGCTGAGAGAGCCGAGCCAGAAACCAAATGCAACTGTCCTCATTCCTATCCAGAGCCCTTTTTGCTATTCATCATGACTTGGAAGAAACATGGGGTAAAATGCTCCCCATCACTGGCCAGTTATTTGCACACTGAACAGACATTTGCAAACCTTAAATCCCAGAACAATGTTCATGGGGACTGTTAATATTAGATGAGAGCTTATTTTCTACCAGACATTATGCTAAGCCTGTTAGAGTTCCAGAGGTAGTTCTTGAAGACGAAGAAACGGAAGATTCCAGAAGCTTCTAGAGTTGTATTGTGAGTGGTAGAGACGACACACAATTCAAATCTACCTGATATCCATCTAAACCCGAGTACTAAGCTCGGTGAAGAGATTAGCAGTGAAGTGAACAGATATTGATTTTCTTCAGCATATTCTAACACTGGTAGAAATCAGCAAATCACCAAGTCTGTTCTATTCTAAGATGGCAGATTTTGAAGTAGGCATTCTTTATTTTATCTTTAGCTAGACTTTGTCTTAAGAATCAGACTTAAGATACTCTGAGATATTATAGCAATATGGACTTCCAGGGATTAGAATTTAAATCATGGTCAACCATGTCTCAGCTCTGAGATCAAATGACCACACTTCTCTAAAAAAGAGGTGGTACAATAAATCTAAAGGACAGGAGGTCCTGGGCCTGAAGACCCTTTGTGAAGTGGAATACACACAGATCAGTCACTGAATGTCGGAGCTGTTCAGCAAGGTCAGAGGGAGCAGAACTGGTTGCAAACTTAAAAATGATTAGAAGTTAAATTGCATTTATCCAAGGAAAGACCAAGATCCTTCGAAATATTTAAAATTATCCCCTCCCTCCATCAGGAGGTCAACACCCTGCGCTGCCAGCTTGGAGACCGCCTCAACGTGGAGGTGGACGCTGCCCCCACCGTGGACCTGAACCAAGTGCTCAATGAGACCAGGAGTCAGTATGAGGCCCTGGTGGAGACCAACCGCAGGGAAGTGGAGGAGTGGTTCACCACCCAGGTGGGCATCCGAGCACCTGACCACTTGGGATTCAAGGCCCCAGGGCTCTTAGGGCAGGGTCTGATCCTGTCTCCTCCCCTTGGGTGTTTCAGACTGAGGAGCTGAACAAGCAGGTGGTGTCCAGCTCAGAGCAGCTTCAGTCCTACCAGGCGGAGATCATCGAGCTGAGACGCACAGTCAACGCCCTGGAGATCGAGCTGCAGGCCCAGCACAACCTGGTGTGTATTGCAAAATTGGGGAGGCAGAATCACCTCTGGGCCTCACACTCTCCTTAGCCCTTGGAGCTTGTGACTCTGCAAGCCCATGGACAAACCCCTTAAAGGGGGGAAGCTCTCTGACACCCCTTTATCTTCCCCACCACAGAGGAACTCTCTGGAAAACACGCTGACAGAGAGCGAGGCCCGCTACAGCTCCCAGCTGTCCCAGGTGCAGTGCATGATCACCAACGTGGAGTCCCAGCTGGCCGAGATCCGGGCTGACCTGGAGCGTCAGAACCAGGAGTACCAGGTGCTGCTGGACATCCGGGCCCGGCTGGAGTGTGAGATCAACACGTACCGGAGCCTGCTGGACAGCGAGGACTGCAAGTGAGTGCAGGGCTACTGATCCTTTCATTGGGACACATGAAGTTGCAGTGGCAGTGAAAAGTCTTCCTGATGGAAATGGCTTATCATTTCATGCTGTAGGGTGACATTCTGACTTAAAATGCTTTTATTGTCTTATTCCTTCAGCCCATTTTATTCTAACTTGTTCCAATGGTTTTATGTCACCAGACTTCCCTGTAATCCCTGTGCCACAACCAATGCCTGCGACAAGCCCATTGGGCCCTGTGTCTCCAATCCCTGTGTCACACGATCTCGGTGTGGGCCTTGCAGCAATTTTGGGCGCTAGAGGCCCCACTGCCAGGAGGAGGACAAGGACTTCAGTCACATCTCAACTCCAACAATGACCACACCAGACAAAGGAGAAACCGTTTATCACGGCAGCTCTGACTTTCCACGGCGTCTCCTGGTCTGATTCTCCAGCACAGGAGAGTGCAGAGCCTGTCTTTTGAGTCACACACAGAGATCTACAACAGGATCAAGTAGTAACTACTGTTAAATGACACATTTGCACGACATGTTATGTGTTGGCAAAACTTATCTAAATGCAATTTGAAAATGATGATATTAAGTGTGGTACAGCTGCTGGGATGCTTGTGCAACAGAACATAACTGGACTTAATCTTCTTTGTCACACTTTTGGATTTTGGTGATGTAATAAAAATCCTTTGTTAATCCTCCTAATAAACTTATTCTGGCATGGAAATTATAGTTGTGTGTTTCATTCATAAATTCCAAAATTGGCTTCCTTTTATCTCTAAAGAGTACCCAGTGTTTTTCCGTCAGATGAAAGTATTCAACTTGATACATGGTCTGTGATTTCCTTCAAAGGAAAAGTCCCCACTGGACATCACCTGTCAATCCCCCCGCCCCCTTTTTAAGCTGGGATTGAACCCAGTGGCACTTAACCACTGAACAATATCCCCAGTCCTCCCTCAATCCCTCCCTTCCTTCCTTCCTTCCTTCTTCTTCTTCTTATTATTATTTGGGGCATGAGTGATTAAACTAAGGGGCACTCAATCACTGAGCCACATCCCCATCCCTATTTTGTATTTTATTTAGAGAGAGAGTCTCACTGAGTTGCTTAGCACTTCGTTTTTTGCTGAGGCTGGCTTTGAACTCACGATCCTCTTGCCTCAGCCTCCTGAGCTACTGGGATTTTACAGGTGTGCATCATTGTGCCTAGCTCACCTGCCAGTCTTGATAAGCACTAGAATAAGCAGAGCAGAGTGATCCATGCAGGTTGAGGTGATGGTGGTGACCTTGGTCAGCACTAGTTTGTACAGGAGATGACATCTAAGTTGTGACTTGCAACCTGAGAAGAAACAGATCAGAGGGAAAGAGCCTTCCTTCCAGACAGAGGAACCAGAAAGTCAAGAGTGGAAACGAAGCTGATGCCTTTGAAGGAGGTGAGGGAGGGCCAGCGTGTCTGTGGCGATGAGCTGGGAAGGGGAGGACCTGACTTTATGTGAAGTGAAGCCTTGGCAGAGTTAAAAGGATGGACTGATTGACAGCTTTACTAAATGGAGTGCTTGGGTGGCTGAGTGGGTGTAGGTGTTCTGAACGGCCCTGTTGGAGGCGTTGGGGTCGTAGATGACAATGACAAGTCAACTGTGTTGTTTTGTTTTGTTTCATAGAGTCACTGACAGCTAAAACCGCTGCTCACATTCCTCATCAGAAACAGGGAAGTCAGTAAAGTGCCAAAAACTACAAGGATTGCTCAAACTCGAAGAAGATACGATCATGATGTGGCCTGCCCGGGTCATTGCGAAACTCATGCCCAGCCTTGCCTGGCCTCTGAGCCCGCTGCAGGTGTGTGGAGGCAGCCTGCTCTCACTCTCGCTTTTACTGCATGCAGGGACAAGCACCCGTCTCAAGTGTAAAGACCAGGGAAGATTGACAGCTTCCTCAATGACATATTTATAAGAAACTCAAAGCGCTCGGCAGTGGCCGGGACATGTTGGCATGTACCCGAGATGACTTTATGTGGCAGCACCAGTGAGGTGAGTGGCCACCCTGGTGAAGTAAAAGCTTGGGGTGTGACACGTTGGAACGCGTGTGTTTAAGGTTTTAAAGACGGTCAAAAGGTGAAAAGGGCCCTGTGTCTCCAATCCCTGGGTCACACGATCTCGGTGGGGGGCCACAGGCTTGAAAGGACTCCTTTCCGTTTCGATCAAAGCTGTAACCTGTCTCTGGAGCTCAGCCCTCAGTGTGGTGTGTGGCCTTTCTGAGCCTCAATTTCTTAAGCTATAAAATGGGGGAATAATGATCACCTCATTGCTTTAATCTTTCAAAAATAAAAGATGGAAGGAGAGTATGCTGTTCAAAGCTAACCCAGCACTTGATGCAAAGGATGTGCTCAGAAAATAGAGTTTCTGTATGCTTCTGTAGGGACCCTGAGGAAATTATGTTTTTAATGTCCTCATCCCTTTTCCTATTGCTCATGACAGAGAATCCACATCTTTAAGATTTAAAATTTTGCTGACTCGATCCATTTGAACCCAGGTGGAAACCTGGTCTCAAGTTCTCTTGAGTTGAGGGCCACCAAGGGGGTGGATGGGACAAGAAAGTGAGAGATCTGACCTCCAGGGCTGAGAACTGGAGAGAAATGAATTCAGATGTGTGTGTGCATGCCGGCCCACGCATGGATGTACAGCAGTGTGTGTGCGCGAACTCGTGTGTGCACGTGTATGTGTTGTGTTAGGAGGAAGATCCTGCTCCCTTCCTCCTAGTATGATCATGATAATTATTCTCGTAATAACTTCATATCTGCTCTTGCTGACTCCATTGCTGGTTGGTTGTGGAATCTGGCTGGCTGGTAACTGCAGAGAAAAATTTGAGAGAAGGTTGCTTATGAGTATCTTGGATGCTGGGAGCAGAGCTGTGGGTGGTCCACGGGTCAAAGAGCCAGGCAGGGTGGACAGACAGAGGTCACCTCGACAGGCACTGCTGCAGGCTGTGGGGTAAACACAATTATATACCTACCCAGAGTGAAGTCCCTCTGAGAAGGGCAGACTCTGGGGGTGGAGGAGAGGACAAAGATGAAAGAGTTTCAAGTCTGTTCTTGATAAATGCTCAGTTAGATCCCTTGCCCGAGGCAACGTATCTTGAACAGAAATGCAGGGATACACACAGGTGGGCTGGTGGAAGGGAGCTATTCCCCGGTTGAGAGATACGTGGGCTAGGGAAGCATCCAGAATCTTGCAGGCAAGATACGGTAAGCTCTCTTTGGCTTTGGATGCCAACGATTTTAGAAAATCCCACGTTTGCCTTACTGCTATGCACTGACTGAGGGTTTGTGTTCATGCTCTGAGGCTGGTACTGGAAAGAAATGTAGGGGGAAGAGAGGAAGGAGGAGGAGGAAAGGGAAGAAGCAGGAGAGGGAGAGACCAGAAAGGAAGGAGGGAAGAAGGAAGGAGGAAGGAGAAAGATGGGGAAAAAAGAAAAAGAAACAAAGGAAGTTTCTTCTGTAACAATTTGTAAATTGTCAGTTTGTCACTTGGTCTCTGTTGGCCCTGTGTCTGCCGTGACGTTGCCTTCCCTTCCCGTTTCTCATCCCATATTGACTCCTTGGTTTACTGGCGTTACCTTTTCTAGTTCTGTCCTTTGGTGTTTGCAGGCCATCATTTGCCCCTCTTCTCTAGCTTGGCCTCTGGGTCTTGGCCTCCCAGTGAGGTCTTTATGACCCATGGGGGTCGTTAGTGAATAAGAGCAAGGCTGCCTGCTGGGGTGGATGGAGCCACACAGGTGTCTGGTCTTCCGCTTCTGTGTACTCTGGAGCTTTGCAAAACTCCTAACGAATGCATATGGCAGTCTCTTCACAATCACGCATCCAGGCCATTACCCCCCACTAGATTAGCCCTCAAGTCAGCTAATTTAAATATCTTCGAAGATTTTTCACATTTAAAAACTGATTCGGCAAGGCCTGGGGAGGTAGCTCAGTGGTAGAGCGCTTGCCTAGCATCCCTGGATTCAATCCCCAATATGGAGGTGGGTGGTGGGGGGCAGCTGTTTCTTGCCGTGCATTAATGACAGGTACATAGGAGGAAACACACCAGGTGCTCAGCTAATAATTTATAACATACCTGCTTGATATTAATAGCCCATCTAGGGCAGATGAAGAAATGAAGCACAAAGAGGTGGCTCGAGTCATGTCATGCAGCAAAAATGTTCTCATTTATTGACGGAAGGTGCACTTCGGTGACTCTGAGAAGAGCAGGGAACAGGCAGACACATGAGTAACTTTTTCTGGTGAGAAAGGAGTAATCCGTTTTCTCTTAACCAGGTCACCGTGTTCTTTGAAGGTGATGACTTATTCCGACATTAACAACCGTGAGATTCATAGGATTAGGCATGAAACTTCATTCTGAAAGAACTTTGGTGATGAGGATAGAGTTACAGAAAGCAATTTTTGAATCATGTTTAGTACAAAAGAGAAATTAAGAACTTAAGTGACTCGACTACACGCTAGTTGAACTCATGCCAAGAGTGTTTCCAGTGCTTCTCCAAATGCTTACAGGGAGATCTGGAAAGTCTCCAGGCACACTCTGGTCATGGTGGTGCTCAGGGACCCAGCCTTAGCCTCATCCTTACTGCTCCTCCCTCTGGAGAACTGGGTATCTCTGGCTAGACATAAAGCTCCAGGGGCTTTTGAACCAAAGTTGATCAAAGGTAATAACATAAGGTATCCTTTCTAGAAAGTTTTTTGGATTCTAATTTTTTTCTTTGAGTAGTGATTTAAAATGATAAGGAATATAGACCTGGTGGGGGAAAAAAAAAAACAAACCAAAAACCCAGCGAGCCTTTTGGTTAGACTAAGACGTTCTCTTAAACTCACACTAATTGCATATCCAAGTAAGTAAGTTGATTGAAAAATACCAGTTTATATTTATACCTAGATCTAAGAAAAATCTTGGATTCACATACACGTTGGTAGTATCGTAAAATGTGACAAGGATAATACATGATTTGGATTTGTCTCTGGGAAGAAGAGATCTGAATGAGAACGAGTATGAAAACCAAGGAAGTCTTCAACGTTACCTCTCATCCTATCTTTATTTGATTTTAAACCCACTTAGAGTGAAATACCAACAGCCACAAAACCTTGGTAGCACTATTTTAAAATACATCTTCTCTGTTATTTTTTTTGCATCAATCAGAGTAGGCAAGTTTACAGTTACCCCAGTTACAAACAATGCCCCCCTCGTTTCCCAAATCTTCTCGGAACAAGAGTTTATTTCTTGCTCAAAATAAACATGAGTAGGAGAATTTTAAGCATTGTACTTCTCTGGATCTCAGGCTAGCAGTGGCCCTGACTCTAGAAACCTCCACGCAGCTGCTTGGCAGGGTTAAGAAAAAGGGCACTGGCTCATAAAGCTTCATTCTGGAAGTCAACACACTTCAGTTTCCAAGTAGACAGAACTCCAGTACATTCCTGCCATGTTCTTGAAGGAAAAGAGAACTATTTGGTGAATAGCAATGAGGATCACCATATTCACTTTCCTTGGGAATATTATTTATAGCAATTGTCATGGTGAAATGATGTGTGTTTCCTCCAAAGGATTGGCTTTTATGCCAATTATGTCTGCCAGTGTGTTGGGGACACTTCCATACAGAGGTCTCTTTATATTCATGGTCTGGGTTTTTTTTTTAAAATCATCCAGATAATGCATAAAACAAGTTTCCTTATTGGGTAGGGTCCTGATG